CAAAGCAGGCAGTTATTTTGAAATGTCAAAATACTGTCAAGCTGGAGGACTTCTTACTTCGACTCCTGTAACCCTCATCGTACGAAGAGTAAGGGAAGTTGGAGGAAAAGTGCTCTATTTCGAAATAAGCTACACAACTGACATGGCTCAAGATAAGTAGCTTATTTCAAGGTAAACCCTGCTGTGTAGACGCACCCTTACAGACTAACATATATATAGCAACATGAGCTTTTGTGGGCAAAACCCACTTCATCATATGATGAGTTTTCGAGGAATAAAAAAAATCAATTAATTTATAACATAAAAGAATACCAATTCCGCACTCTCTTGCTGTAATTAGCTGGTGAAATTCCTTTGTAGAAGAACGACTATTTTTAAATCCATGATTTAATGCCCAGGTAGGTTAAAATGTTCCCCTACAGGTTTACGTGCATTACCATTTACGATGTTTGATTTGCATATATTTATCCTCTGCCATAGAGACTGACTAGTTTGGCTAATATATAGGATCGAGGAGCATCACTTGATGGCATATATCAGATTAGAAGATGTGCAGTTGTATGAGACCCTGATGTTGTGGCTTGTGGAATCTGATTATAGGCAGTTCAACTAGAGAACAAGCTGCAACCAAATACTACATAAGAAATTAAGAATGGTCATACTGGGTCAGACAAAAGGTTCATCTAGCCCAGTACTACAATAGTGCCAAATGAACACCTGTTCTCACTTTCAGGTGACACTGCAAACAAGAAGCGGTAGCATTATCTCCTGCAAATTGTAAGCAAAGTTTTTTGCCTGTCTGATTGGCTGAACAAGAAGTAGGACTGAATGAACCTATAAACTCTCAAGATTTAACATTGTTTTATTTTTTGAATGCAGTTTTTTTGGTACATAAATCTATATTGGAAGTTCAAAATCTGTGATAAAGAGAATGCACTACTGTACTTGTATGGGATGAACTGAAAAATACGATTTTGTTCTTTACAGTGCAAATATTTATAATAAAAAATAAATATAAAGTGAATACCTTGTATTCAGTGTTGTAATTGAAATCCACGTATTTGACAATTTAGAGAACCCAAAATTAGGGATGTTAGATATTATGTAATTCAGCAGTTCCCAATCACTGGTCCACGGACCCTTGCCTAATGGGCCGTGGCATACTGCCAGGCCATGCCCCCAGCTGGGCTTCACAGGGGAGCACAGCAGTGTTCCTTCTAACGTGTATGCCTGCTCGGCATGCACCAAAAATTTGAAGTCCACCCGGCTGCTCAGCTCATCTGGTGTGGGGCCACATGGCAGGTGGCTTGGCCCTAGCTTCAGCCCTTCCCCAGGACTGGAGTTGGAGCTGTGTGATAAGCAGTAGCTGGGGCTAGAGCCGAAGCTGCAGGGAAGTGAGGTGAGGGGGTCATGTCAGCAGGCGGGGTGGAGCATGGCGTGCAGGCAGCCTGAGGTCCATGTGCCGAGGGAGAGCTGCTGCAAGACGAACCTCCAGCACTGAGGAGGAGGCTGGAGCTGCATTGCCAACCCTGCCTATACCGAGTGCAGACCACACTGCGCGAGGCTGCACCATGAAGGCGGGATGGGGGCCTCCCTGGCTGCCAGCAACCTTGCCTGTGACCTTCCCTCGCCTGTAGGGGAGCCCCAGGAGCTGCTAGGTTTGATCCAAGGCCCAGAGTCTTGGTGGTACAATTTTCCCGTGCAGTGCCACCGCTGGGGGCCACACTGGGGGAAATTCCGAGTTGTTAATCCCTGTGCAACTGCCCCCATGCACTGGGACCTGCCACTTTTCACCCAGCTCCCCGCCTGGGTCATTCCAAGCAGCCTCCTTCCCCTCTTCCAGGTCTCTCTGCCCAGCCCTTGGGATACTGAACTGTGGGTTCTTAAGGGGTGAGAGGGTTCTAAGAGGAAGGGGGCTGACAGTGGGGGGCCACTGGGGCATCTGGGTGGGGAGCTGGCACTGGGGGGCTCTGGAGGTGGGGCTAATAGTGGGAAATCTATGAGGGCAGGGCTATGCGGATGGGGCTAATATTGAAGACTAGGGACTGGCACTGAAGGGTACTGGGGGGCTCTGAAAACAGAAGGCTGGCACTGGGGGAGCCTCATGGTGGGGGGCTCTAAGCCTTAAGGGGTGGGGGGACTGGCAGAGCAGAAGCTAGCTGTTGTAAGTGGCTCTGGGGACTGGGGCTTTTGGTGGTGCATAATGAATATGCAAATAATATTCCCCAGGGGCACTCCTGGCCCCACTCCTGGGGAGTCTTCCGCTAAGATTTTCCATCTTTGACCGGGTTGAATTTCTTTTGGGTGGGTTTAAATTTCTTATGAGCAACAGAAATATTGAGGTAGTGTGTGGATGTGCACCCACCAGTACAAGATCTAAATATATGTTTTAAATTGTCCACAGGTGTGGAAGAACATATATTAAAACAAGGGATAATTAACAAGGAACAATGTTTGATTATTTAATATGAAATCAAATACAAAGAAAATTAACACTCCCCTTGGTTGAGGAAGTGGGTTCTGCCCAAGAAAGCTCATGATACTATTTATATATTGTTGTTTGCCTATGGTGCTGCTATAGAACCATAGTTTTTTTTTTTAATTACAGACTAACACGGCTACTCCTCTGAGACCTTGGAGATCATGTATTATCATCCTTTGTAACAGACTGATGCATGTTTCAAAGATCTTGTAAATAAGGTTTCACCCTATAAAACAGCTTGCATCACACCTAGTACTTGCTGCTTCTGACTCATAAAAGCCAGAATTCTACCAGATAGCAAAGATCTGTCCTTAATGCAATATAGTTTACCATGTATTAATTAGTAACACGGGATTTAAATAAATCATTAAGATCCATGTTTTCGATATTTGCAACACTGAAAAAATTCAGTTAAAGAATCTTTTTTTTTCTTACCTTAACCTATTAAAACAGCAGTGGGAAATAATTTTTTATGGGAGTCCACTACAAGAATTTGGTAAATAGTCAAGAGTCACACTCTTCCATTATATTAAGGGAGGAGTTGCAGGGGTCTGGGATGGAGGTTGCGTGCAGAAGGGAGCTTGGGGCAACGGACTGGGGTGTGGGATCTGGGAGGGAGTTTGGGTGAAGTAGGGGATTGTGACCTGGGGCAATGGACTGTGGTGAGGAGGGAGTTCAGGGCCTAAGAGGGTTTGTGACCTGAGAAGAGGTGTAAGAGAGGAAGTCTCTGGGAAGGTGTATGGGGGCTGGAGCAGCGGTGCAGAATGTGTGGGTTACATTGGGTAGGACAGAAGGCAGGCAAAGGGTTGGGAGATGGAGGGAGAGACTTGGGAGCCAGAGACCTTACGTGGCTCCCAGCCAGCAGTCCAGCGGGTTCCTTAGCCTGGCCCCTGCCTTCCAGTCTGTGTATGTGCTATGGGGAGCCGCTACAGGATCCATGTTTATTGTTCTGAACTGAATGCTGTCAGCCCAGGGGATGAGGAGCACTTCACATGCTGCCTGTCCTGCAAACAGGAAGCTGCTATAGGTAAAAAACAACCAATGGGAGCTATATGGTGGGGGCAGCATGAGAAGCCTGTTTCCCCTCCCTTCAAGCTCTCAGTGTTCAGAAACACACACGTTGCCCTGCAGCCAGTTTTCCTGAGTGCCGAGCTGGAGCGGGGCAGGCAGGGAGCCGGCTGAAGCTCTTGCAGCCAGATATGGCCTGCAGATCACTTTTGCCCAGCCCTGGAGTAGAGGCTGGAGCCAGCTTCTCCAATTGTTGCAAGCAGCTGCTGCTGCTGCGTCTGCTCCTCCGAGAAGATAAGTGCCATGCCCCCCCTTCACCAACCGATCAGCTGAGCAACCTGCCTGCGGGGGGAGCTCTGTACCTCTGCATGAGGCTCAGAAAAGGTTTCCTGCCTCGTTGCGCTGCTGACTCTGTATCAGAGGCAACAGTGCAGGGCGGCAGATGGGGACCAGTCTGCCAGGGGAGCCAGTTTAAAAGCTAGCTCCCCTCGCAAGACTGGCTGCCTGCCATCCCACACTGCTGCCTCTGATATAAGAGGCAGCAGCGCAAGGTGGCAGCAGCCGCTGTCCATGGGGGGGTCCAACTTCCCAACAGACGATGACTGTTCTGTGGCATCTCAGCTCTCCTGCAGACAGAGGCTGCTGCCTTGGATAGAGGCTGCTTCGTGGGGTGCGTGCTGGTGGGAGCCAGCTTTTAGGGGGCTCTGTAATAGGCAGCAAGTGGGGGGGCAGGTAGGTTTACCGCATGTATCGGCTCTACCCTGCCACCCTCATTCTCTGCCTCGTGTACAGCTAGTTCGGATTAGGAAACCTAATCCGAACTAGCTAGTCCGTGCCGTGTGTAGCCGCGCGGCACGGAGTCCGAACTAGCCGGCATTTAAAAATGGCGCCGGCCGACTTCATGCAAATGAAGCCCGGGAAATTCAAATCCCGGGCTTCATTTGCAAGTGCGGATGACTACATTACCCCCGCTAGTTCGAACTAGTGGGGTAGTGTAGACATACCCAGAGAGAGTGAGAGAGAGAGAGACCCTGGCAATTGTATGGAAGTCTGATTTTATAACGGAACATCCCATTAATGTCTTTGTTCAAACATTCTACATTTCCCATCTCACCCATGGCAGGATGCCACTGACTGAGGTTCAGGGAAGTAAAGATAGCAAGGCATATCTGTGGGTATTGGTGGGAGGGGAAGAATATCCTAATTTTTGTGCATGGGAGTATGTAATGAATAAAACAGGACATAGGTGCAATGGCATATTATAGCAGATTGTTAAAAGACAGAATATCGTAAGAGATGTAGATGTTGAAGGAGCGCTATAAAGATTAGAAGAAGAATGCAAAGAAAATTTTAGTTTTTGCCAATAAGAATGTGGAAGTATACCATACAATAATGAATAACTATTTTAAATATGTTAAGGAGTTGCCCAAATGCCTGCTTATATCTTAAAACTGAATGATCCTCATCTGGGGTTCAGAGACAAACAATCCATTCAAGTACATTACATTACCTTCTAGATTCATGCCAGCTTGAAGACACTTCCGGTAGCGACAGGCTGGACAGTTTTTTCTTCGAATTTTGTCAATGATACAATCATTTCTTCCAGCACATAGATAATTGTGCTGTCCTGTATTTACAAAAGAAAAACACACATCTATAATTAAAATAGTGGGTACATTTGTGCAGTTCATTTTGATCTTAGAGTTAAGAAATTGAGAAGTATACAATGTACTAAATCACCACACTCCTTTTTAGCAGATTTTGGTATAGTAATTTTGGTATCTACAATTTCCCATCATCCCACAGATTTCCTAGGAAAGATATAGGAAGAACCCACTAAAATGTTTAAAAATTCTGTTTAAGGCCAATTTATGCGGGTTTTAAACTATTTTTATCTGAAATTTATCTCAAGTCATCTCCTACTGCATTTTTAAAAATTTTTTAATAAAAATATCTTTTTATAGAGTCACAAAAATTTAAGATTATAATTCTCAGTAAGGAAAGTTAGAAACAAAGGGAAATTATTGAATAGTCTAACTGCACCATATAATCTCCTTGAAATAAATCTGATAATTAAAATTAAAAAAATAGACCAGTTCATTTAAAATATCTAACTTTCTTGCTTATAGGAAAATATCATTTCTGAAACAGCAATATGTAGCTTTTCACTTCTGTGGTTAAAGTCATCCAATATTACCAAAGCCAGTTTGAGTGTGTTCATTTAAAAATACTTCAGGATATACTGATTTTGCCACTTTTAAAACATGGAGGAAGGGATCATGGGTTTTGGAGCTTATGAAGTGGCTAGACTAAATCCCTTGGTATTTATGGTATTATTGGTATTTATGGATCGAAAACTAAGCTGACCTCAGAAGTCCAGAAAATTAAACTACATAACTTAAAGAGTTGCTTCTCTCCATGATGCAGTTTTCAGCAGCTAAAAAGGAGAAACACTACAGTATATTGGTTATTTTTAACTGTTTTACGTGTGACTAATTTTCTAAAGATCTTTTCCTGTTCAGAAATAACTGTCATTAAAGGACAGCTTCTTATCCAGTCTGAAAACTAAAATAGACATCAGAAGCTGGTCTCTCTTCAGCTGGCCTAATGACTTCATATAGGCTGATTAAAAGGTAATTCTTAGATCTCGTAGTCAATGAGTAAGAACGGAATCCAGCTCTCTCTATAATGGATTATTACAGTCCTGTTCATTGTCCTGGAATTTTCACATACCATTCAACGGCAGGTTGGACCTCCCTGGTCTGGCACCCTCAGGACCTGACTGGTCCTGGATGAAGGATTTTGCTGGATGAGGGATATATGGGTCCCCTGCTTTCAGCTCCCCCCTAACCCTGGACCAGCTGCCCTGCTGGTCCCCCCACCTTTGTGCTTACTATGCTGGGAAGCCCCGCTGCAGTACTCTGAACTCTTGGCTCTGCCAGAGAGACCCGCTGCTGTGCACTGAGCTCCTGGCCATGCTGGGGAGCCCCGCTATGGAGAACGGAAATCCTAGCTCCACCAGGTAGCCCTGGTAGGTTGTGCCTGGCTGCCTAACTGTGGTGTGCCAAGCAGCCCAGCAGCAGGGAGCCTAGCTGCCAGCCCTCCACCAGGACTCTCTGGTCCTGGAACATCCATGATTCTGCTGGATGATGAATGTTTCAGGACCACGGAGTCCCAGATTACCGAGGCTCAACCTGTATTGCAATTTGCAAGTGGGAAAGAGAAGAAAGCTTTTTACCTTTGCATTAGTTATTCAGCAAGTTTTCTAAAAATACCTGTTAATTTAATATGTTTTGCTGCAATGTAACACCATTACTGCCCCACCCAGCAACCAGGCAAAGGCTATTCCAGAGTGTTTGTTTAAAAATAGGCACAAATTGTTTTGTGAAGTAACTGGTATCCTCTCTGATCTATGTTGCACTAAGGAAGTAATTTCATTGTAAAAACTCCTTTTGCAACTTTCTCTGAGAATGAATCAAGTGTATAGGAAATAGATTTCACACTCATTTAATTGGATGGCATTTAAAGTCTTCAGAGTGTATGCCCATATTCTAGATTAATCGATATTTTGCTTATGGGAGGGTAGTCTGGAAAGTTTCTGGTGTAAAAATAAGCATTCAGCTTTCCCTGATATTTGAATCGTGAAATCTCCCTACTTAGTAGAAAAAAGGTTTGATTAAAGTGTGTCAGGTTAATTTGTATAATTTGGGTTGGGGTACAAAGACTCTTACAGTGGCTTCACTCAGGCTTAATTCCTTAGATAGCTGATTTCTTGAAGGGAGCTTTTTGCATTTCGTTTTGTATAAATACCAAAAATCTTCTATTTGGAGAAAACGAAGCAACAGGGACCCCAAGTCACTAAATTCCATCGAAAATGAAAGCAGTAAATAGACAGAGCACAACCCGGACACCTCATTATCAAATATGTAAGTATGTGTGTATGTATTTCTATCCATAGTTATACAAATATAGATACATGTACAACTAAATGCTGCAAATCAGCAGAGTAGAAAGACATATTAAATCCTGGGATAGGATGCAAAAGGGTAATTCTTCTTGCTTTCAGAATATGAATGCTGCAGAACAATTACAGAGGATGTTCCAAGTAGGTAGCCTTTAGGGCTACTGCTTTCTTCTTGATACACCACCACTTATGGGGCTGATGCACCCTCTTTTGCAGTCTATGATTAGTGATCCGTAGGGATATTAAAATGTTGTAATTGGTTAACTGTTAACCGCTGGAAAATTCAGCGGTTACACGGTTACATGTGGGGCGGCAGCCAGCTTTTAAGCCAGCTCCCGAGACACACCGGCTGCTGCACTAGCTCCTGCCTGCTGCCCCACTCCAGGGGAGCCGGCCGCTGCTACATGTTGATGTTTCTGATATAGAGGCAACAGCACAGGGTGGTAGTTGGCTCCCCAGGAACTGGTACGTGGCAGGAGCCAGCTTTTAAACTGGCTCCCACCTGTCGCTCTGTGCTGCTGCCTCTACAGAACAGCAGGCGGCTCCCCAGGAGCTGTACTGGGAGCCACATATAACCATTTGGGTAATAGATAAGCATGAGCTTACCTTTTTAAATGGCTACACTCTTACATCCCTGGTGATTAGCTCTCATTCCTTTCTGAGCTGGAATGCTTAATTGCTTCTATGTTTTTATATATCCCCTCCTCCAATAATTGTGTAACGAAAAGAAGAAAGGTGATTCCAAACTGCTCGGCTTCATGCAAAGCAAGGCTATGCAAGGTACAGAGATATTGTCTAAAAATGACCCCTGTCAGTCACCTTTGTAACTACACAAAAGCAGTTCAAGCAATATACTGGAAAAGGTAGCTAGTGATCAGAGATCAATTCAGAAAATTTTTAAGAACGCTTATTGCAGAAATGAATACTTCATATGCAGTGCTATACTGGACCATGATGGGAACAGGGAAAGATTATTGTTGATCTCACCACTCTTACATTATCAACCACACACCAGGCATACCGATTCTGGATATCAGAATAGACCAAAGAAATCTGCTGGTTTACCAAAAGGCCACAATGTAATTTATTGGTTCTGTCTCTTGAATTTCCAACACTTTCCCACTATTGCTTGTGTGCCTTTTCTCATGCTTTCCCCTTCTTCTGAAATGACACTCCTCTCCCACCTTTCAATATACTCATCCTCCTTTGAATACTTCCTCAAAACCCACTTGTTCCATTTGGGTCTTTGCCAGTCTCTACCACATCCTCTTCCACTGTCTTTTTCTCAACTAAAGAGACTATCAGGATTTTCAACTTATTTGCCCCTCCTTTACCCTTTACTTTGTCAATGAAGAGCATGAGCTCTTTACAACAGAGTCAAATAAAGTCTCATTTAAGTTTGTATCAGTGGTTCTCAACCTGCAGCCCAGTCAGCACAAGGCTGTGGCCCATATGATGTCCTCGGGGCCATACAGGTAGTATTGGATGTGCACATATGTTGCTCACAATGGTAAACAGGTTGAGAAATGCTGGTCTATATAAATGCGTCATGAAATGTTCTGATAATATAAAAAATTAATAATTACCACTATTATTGCAATGCTCTAAAAAGAAGATGTAAAGTATGTGAGTTTCTCATACACTTAAAATAAGAATTCTGCCTGGTGTACCATTTAATCAAACTGTACAAGGATAAAGATTATTTCATAAATATACAGTCAGTAATCTGCAAGGATTACAAAAGGAAGGTACAGCAAAAACAGACCTTTACGCCACATATTCTTAATGACATTTAAATTACAGGGCCTGTCATGTCATATTTTTTCCCCATAGTTCATTCAGGAGTGTCACAAAGCTAAAGCCGGCTAACTAAACTTCCCTTTTTAAAGCAGTTCCAGGAAACTGAAACAAGTCCATAGGACTGTGGCCCAGATGTTCAAAAGGGCTCCCATATTCTCCTGCTGAGAACAATGGCAACCACTGCGTGCACAGCACTTTTCAAAATTTTGCTCTGTTCTTTTAAATTTACAGTATAAGAAAGGTGAAAGATTTATACTATCTGAAGAGAAACCAGAGTACATGCATGACACCAAAAAAGTTCTCTGTCAGAGTCCAGGTTGGTCCTATTCCCTGAATGGACACCAATCTGCTGTGAGGAGGTCTAAACACTGATGACCATGTTTCTCTACAGCTCCTTAGGTCGGGTCAGTGATTCAATCAACCCTATTAATAGCTCTGGGTCACACTCTCCTCTCTTGGCAGCAGTATGGATAAAAATGGATGAGTTTAACTTTTTTTGTACATCAGACTTTTAAATTTAAATACTGTTTAATTAAAACGTAATACTAAAATTATATTTTAAATTATGATAACCTCTGTTTAGGCCTAAACTTGGTATAATCCATTGAAATAATTTAAATTAAATTAAAATATTAAGCAGTACATGTTTGCTGCCAAGCATTTTTTTTGTTTTTTGTTTTTAAAAAGAGTCAGACCACTGAACTCATGGAAGTCACTGCCTAAACACCTGAAACTAGAGTTTATGAAGTATTAAACTCCACTTACCCTTCCCTAGCCCCCCTTCCTGATGTACAAAATAAAGAAAACGTGTGGTCAAAAATAGAATCTCTCTTTATTGAACAAAACTCGGGGAGACTGGGAAA